TTCACTTACGGTAATACTTGTTCATGTTCCAACAGTTTTGTTCTTTGTTATTTGCTTAAGTTTTAGAGGATAAGATTTAATATACAAGATATATATTAATGTATAACTGATAGTCATGTTCTAACTGGGCGTGTGGTCTGAAGAAAGGTCGTAAGCCCAGATTTTACTTCTAACTGTACAAGCATGAGCACCTTATGGTAGTGGGAAGTCCAAGGTCAGCGAATAGCTTATTGAAAGTCTGCTGGGCCATATAGTAGGTTTACCAGTCGACTAAACGGTTAAGTCTTGTTATGTTACTATTTAAGAGATAAGGTTTTTTTCGCTTCAAGAATTGCATGTTGAAATCGTGAGGTCCCCAATGCCTGGTGTTTCGACCACTTGAAGTCGCTCCAGGCTATAGGATCTTGATCTGTGTATTTTATAAAGTTTCAAAATTTTTTGTTCTGTTTTTCAGTGTATTTGGGTTTGGATATTATGAGATGTTATAGTCAGTAGGTTGAATTCTGTCAACATTACATGTTGCTTGTTATTTCTTAAGTTTTAATATTCGTAGAGTAATCTCCAATTCAGACGAATAGTTTCGAGATAGAGGAAAACAAAAGGAACCCTCAATTGGGCAAAGTACAAAGACCCCCTTACAGTGGCCAAATTTCGAAAAATATTATTACAGACTACAGTGTCATAATGTGTAATAGTGTTTCAGAAATTTATTATAAGACAGTTCCTCCATTCCGCGTGTTAAAATTTTGTATACAGTTTTGTCGGCGTGCTCCTGATTAATTAAATAATAATAATACTCTAATATATAATCATTATATATAATAATATAAGTAAATTATTAATGTAATATATTTGGTATTGCATATATATTCATTCCAGGTATCTTTAAGTAGGTTTTCAGTGAAGTGATATTACGAGATTATAATAAGCATTCATTGCTATATCTATTTTTCTTTGAGAATAGTTATATACGTCAGATCTCTGTCGATGTTGGAGTTAAACGTTATGCGTCAGAGAATTCTGGTGCCAGATATATTAATGTCGTTGGATATGAGTTGGGTATGTTGGGCTTTGGCAAAAGCGAGAATTTATAGTGATCAGATTGTTGTTTAGGATACTTTCGAACTTTTGGAAGAGGTTTCTATTGCATTTTGCAGAGATGTTAGAGCTTTGATTGTACGGAGATAAAGGGAGATAGTTTTGAGCTCTTTGAGTAAGCTCAGATGATTAATGAGAGAACGAGGTTGTGGGGCAATATCGGATAAGTGAGCGAATTGAGAGGGACGGGAAATTGAAAGGCGTTGGGGAACAACAATTTTTGTTGTCTTGTCGATGGTGTCTTTTCTTTCTGTGCTTGCCTAACGTTTACTTAAGGTATCCTTGATACATTTGGCAGCCTTTATACTTTGGCTGGAATTGGTTATTCAACACGAACCATAAGCACCGTGTGCCAAATTTCGAGAAAATAAGTAATTTAGCACTGCTAATCTAATTTTATATACAAGTAAACAACATTAAAGAAATTCGATTGATGCAAAAAGTAAATTCAATAGACGAATAGTTTCCGAGATAGAGGAGCAATGTATGCGAAAAAGAAGGGGATAGCGTTGCATCATTTTTTGGCATTCCGTCTGTGAAGTGTTCTTCAACCGCAATTGTCACGCACCTGAAAGTTGCTTTAAGTTTTGGTTTGCCGTGTGACATACTCTTGGAGCGGATGGACCTTGAGGCTAAAAAACTGGAAGTGTGTTCTTTCCTTTGTACGGTGTTCATTCTATTTCTTCGCATTTACGTCGTAGATATTGTAGATTTCTACCCTTGTTTGCACTTGGTTCCAATAGTCTTAATACAAAAAAGAGCGATATCCGGCTTTTTTGCTTACTTCGATGATGATACATTGTGGCATGTTATGATGCGGTGTGACCTTTGATTTGAGTTATGTTTTACGTTCTTTCTATGTTCGCTGACGGATGCAGGCTATCGAGCACTACACGAAATGCTCTACTTTTATATTGGTTGATAAGTGTGGTATTTGGTCTTTGCGATTGTCAGGTTGGCTTATAATTATTGCTCTGATAAAGACTTCAAAATGGTTTTTGGGAGCAACTTGCTCCTCAAGCTGTACTTTTTGTACGTTCAGCGCGTAAAAACCCTCGTTTTTGTACTCTTGATAGTTTAAAGAATTCTATTTTAATCTTTGATAACATTAGTAACACTGATTTGCATTCGTATAATATTGGCGGTATGTTATATATGAATTCATATGGGAGTTTGGGCTTTATTAGGAGTTATAACTTCATCGAATTTGCTTCTATACTGACATATTTGATTTATATATATGCGTAGAAACTGGCTGGCACTAAGACATTCGAGGGAGTTGGTATAAGTGACTGGTCACATATAGGCGTTGTTTTTTTTCTTTGTTTCGAGGCAGTTGTTGCCACAAGTTAAACTCCTAAGAGTATCAACTCAACACGAGTTTTATTTGAAGGAATTTGTCTTAGTACGAATTTCGCCCCGAAAGTATTGTAGTTGAGATTGGGGAGAAAAATAATGCTGTGGTTGTGATTAACAATGAAGTGCAGAAAGGGCTGGCCTTGGTGACTGTGGCTGTAATAGAAGTGGGGCTGTTTTGAATCTCTGCAGTGAAGTAGTTGTTGATTATTGCCTATTGTGAATCCTGATATCAATTAAATATTGACGCTGCTGACCTACGATTTTTTGCTGCGCATTTTGTTTGTATTTGTAAGTTAAATTGATCACTGTTTTGCCAGGGGCCTCTTGTACTTGGACCATTCATTTGGTTGGTGTTTTTTGATAATATACTCGAATTCACATTGTGATGATTTAATGCTTCACTGGGCGCGCACACACACACGCGCGCGCGCGCACACACACACGCGCGCGCGCGCACACACACACGCGCGCGCACACACACACACGCGCGCGCGCACACACACGCGCGTGCGCACACACACACGCGCGCGCGCGCACACACACACACGCGCGCGCACACACACACACGCGCGCGCACACACACACGCGCGCGCGCGCGCACACACGCGCGCGCGCACACACGCGCGCGCGCACACACACACACACGCGCGCGCGCACACGCGCACGCACGCGCACGCGCGCGCGCACACGCGCACGCACGCGCACGCGCGCGCACACACACACACACACACATATTCCTATACATGAATGCTCACTCTCACAGTCACACATAACATGAACAACCCACTCTTGCTCTACATATTATACATGCCTACATTTAAATGAAGAACATATATTTAGTTACACCTAGTAAACATGCACATACATAAAATTAACCAGTTACACAATTTGTTTTTTAAATATAAACACAATGTGGATTTTTAAAGTTAGCTCTTTAAGCATTTAGATTTGCCCCCCACCTACTGTCGCACTTCACTTCACTTTACTACATTACACTACACTACACTTTCACTACATCTTTCTTTGGTTATGCCATTTACCTAATTAAAGTAGCTTTCCACTGCACTGCACTACACTACACTTTATCTATAATAATCTACAAATTGTGTATTCTGAGCTGTGCGGTAAAATACATCCTCAACAAGTACTTATTAAGTCGTCTTTTAAAAACACCAACAGAACATCAAAAGTATTTGAAAAACTTATCTAACAGCACCTCAAGCCTTTAATTAAAGAAGTGATTCCTGACTTTTAATTCGGCTTTCGAGAAGGACACTCGACAATAGAACAGACCCATTGTATTGTAAACACAATTTCTCATAGCCTGGAAAAAAAAGCTATATTGTTCTGCAGCATTCCTAGACATACAACAAGCATTTGACAAGGTATGATATGAAGGAATTCTATTTAAAATAAAAAAACTTCACCCGCACTCCTATTTACTTCTCAAATCATATCTTTGCGATAGCCTATTTCAAGTGAAATACCAGGACCCTCTATCGGAATTCCAACCTATTTCTGCAGGAGTGCCACAAGGAAGTATTCTTGGACCTTTTTTATATCTCATATCAACTTCAGACTTACCAATTACAGAAAGAACTACACTAGTCACTTTTGTAGAGGACACAGCTAATCTTTCTGCAAATAAAGATCCCTCCTGTGCATCACAATATCTTCAAGAACATCTAAACAAAATCGAAGATTGGAGTCATCGGTGGCGAGTCACCGTTAATGAAACAAAATCAAAACATATAACATTTTCACTAAGAAAAGAAAACTGCCTAAAAGTAAAACTAAACAACACAGAACTCCACGAAGCTGGTACAATCAAATACCTTGGACTGCATTTGGATAGACGCCTGACTTGGAAAACCCACATCAAAACTAAGAGAAAAGAAGCGCAGCTTAAAGTCCTCAAATTGCCATGGCTAATAAACAGACAATCAAAGCTGTCCTTGCATGACAAAATACAGATTTATAAAACTATAATCAAACCAACATGGACCTATGGTATTGAATTGTGGGGCTCTTCCAGTAAAGCGAATCTAGAAATTCTAAAAAGATTCGAAGCTAAAACACTAAGAAAACTATGCAACACACCATGGTACGTGACAAACAAGACGATATATCACCACGATTAGCCAAGCTTACCAGAGGAGATTGTACGAGCACCCAAATTACTTCTCAACAAACCTGCTAGACAACAGTGAACATGTCTATAGACTGAAACGAGAGAGTATTTTAGATTTGCCATACCGATTTCGTAAATGAAATTTTCAATGTCATAAAAAGTTCACGTCAGAAATGTATTTATTGGACACCATTTGCTTATTGTTCTAATAAGAACAGAATGTAAATAATAATAAAAAAATGCAAGCTCTGAAAGTAGGGGCCAGAAAAGGTGGTAGCGAGGGGGAGAGTCACTCCGCCGCATTTTGGGAGTTTCCAAGAACTCACGAGAAGGGTGGCTCAAACTGATCACGTGGGGTTGGTCGCCGCGCGAACAACAGCTTTCTATAGAGCGATTTATTTAGTCGTGCACTTGACGTAAATCATTGTTGCGGCTTCATCCGATCGGGAGCTTACATGCCGCTACAATGACGTTGTGATGCTACTATCGGGACGTTCAAGCTCCCGATTGGATGAAACCGTGAGCGGCTGATTTACATCAAGTGCATAGTTGAATAAATCTTAATATAGATATTGAGTGGGCTGTGCGCAAACGCAAGACGTAGCGTGCCACGTGATTTGAAGGTATATAAGCCAGAGCGTAAGGCGCGGGGGTGGGTTTCGAGCTGAAAACCTCCTGCGAACACACCAAACTTGCGCCCCGGGCGGTGCGGAGGCGAGCTATGTTCGTGGGGCAACCCATGTATCGCGACGCCGCAGTGGACCATCCCTACCACGTCCGACTGCGATCACCGAGCACTAGGCTGTAAGCGTAAGTTCGAAAGGAGAGGCGAGGGGCCACGAATCAGGCAGGTCTTGAATAATTCCTGCAATCAGGGGATAGGGTCTATCCATAACTGTTTAACTATTGCTTTTGCAGGGCATGTACTAAAATTGGAACGGTACAGAGAAGATTAGCATGGCTCCTATGCGAGGATGACGGGCAAAATCTTGAAGCGTTCCACGTTTTTTTAAGGTCCCCGAGGACCAACTTAATAATGTAAGCCTCCTTGCCCTGTGCAAGAGGCCCTTGCCCTAATAGGGATTAAACGGGCTAATAATAATACTTGCAAATAAACTAGTAAATATCTGAACTCGTGTCCGTGATTGCTGTTGTTTTTCCACGACGTCACATTTGTATGTATTGCATTACACACCAGTTCAGTCCCTCTAAATTTTTCGTTTGAAGTTCTGATGTTTCATTCTGGATGAGTAGGCACGACAAAGCCATGTGTATGTTAAGAAAAGGTGATGGTTACCTACTAGGAGTTCAACCGGTATTAACAATATATTAACAGTTTCAAATAATGTTGGTGGTTAAAGTTAAACCTGTTTATCAAAGAACAAAAATATTACTTTATAAAGTGATTTTTTAAAAGGTGTTTGTCGGCTTAGTATTCTGTGACTGGTGCCAGGTATTGTCGTGGGCGCGCCGACAATAGTTGGAGCGAAATCAATAAATAAATGAAAAACTTGAAAGAGATCTTTTTCTCGCTATTCTTGCCTTCAGAAAAAAAATCACAAGCCTCCACATTATTACAAAAAGGTTCACAGCATTATATTTGGATATGTATCAAAATAGTAATTCCACCAATTTCATTCCGATACTGAAATTTAAATTTTATCAAAATCTTTAAAAAATGGACAACTAAAGATATATCAACAAAATGTGTAACTAAATATAGAACGATAAGAAATAGTTTCTTTTGGAAAATTGGTGGAACTAAATATTTGTAAAGCAAATGTCACTACTTCCTTACATGCACCAAAGGAAACGTCAATATTGTTTTGTAATTAGATGCAAAGAAAATGAATATTATCATTGAAATGACATGATAAAATAAAAAGATAATCTACACATAGGTTTTTGTCATTAAAAAGATACAATAAGGTACATTTGTTAAGAGAGAAACATTCAGAGAATAATGTGTCAATGTTAAATACCAGAAAATTTAAGAACAATAAATTCTCAAAATGGCATCAAAAATGAAACAATTTAGACTGACCCAGGGCTGGGCAATGAGAAACTATCAATAAGTGCAATTAGATGAAAGATTTTCATGATGATCACATAAATAGTTGTTCAATATTGTAATCTAAGCTTGTAAATAAATGTAAGAAATATTTCCTTTAGACTGTGTACTTTGACATAATGACGAATGAATTCTGAGTGTGGTTTTAAATATAAATACCTCGCCATCCTTCCCTGAGTCGTCCACATTCACCATAGGGGGCCTGATTCGCATAACTTGTGCGCAGAAAAACTTCTGGAGCATTCCACTCTGGTCTCCCTTGTTTCTCTTCATTGCTACTTCAACGTGACAAATAGAGGTGAAGCACTAAGAGACCACTCAGGGAGGGGTAACACTATATTTTTATGTATATAAGGTTTATATATAAAAGGCTAAAAGGTGCCCTTATTTTTATTTAAATCACTTATTATATCTATATATCTATATCTATATATATTTAATTTACATTACTTAAAATCAAAACTGAGTTATTTCATATGTGAAAATACTGACAGTTTATAACACTTGTTTTCACTCAAATAAAATGTGAGTTTTTGATTTGACCCACCAAATTTAATTTCTGTCATTTTTCTCAACCTAAAAAAATTCATGTACCCTGGTGAACAGACATCGATCCTGTTAGAGCTGCTGCAACAGGCCCAGAAACTGTAGGATTAACACCTGAAGTAGGAATTGGAGTGGTTACAGCAGGAACTGATGCTGTACCTCCACCAGCTGCTCCTTGTTGATCTTTTGCACGACCAATTTGTTGAAGAAAAGCAGTCTTTTTTTCACGTTGAGTTTTGCGCCATTCTATCCACCGTGCAACACTAGGATTTGTTCGATCACCCTTTGCTTCAAGCTGCTGGTAATATGCTTCACGGAGAATGCGAAATGCTTGTAAGTTTGCATATGGAAGTTCTGTCACTGGATCAAAGTACCTAGCTGGCAACCTTGAAAAGGATCACACAAAAAAAATTGAAAGATACTATTATGTATCTGCTATTAACATATGAAGGTATAAGCTTCAAAACTGTCTATGCCCACTTTCTGTAATTCCAAGAAAAAACAGTCATTTCATTCTTAAAAACAGTAAAAACTAATTGTACTACAGCTGCACATACATTCTAGTATTATTTGCAAACGTTTTGTAATATTATGATACTAGTTAAAGCTGCAAAAGCAAAAGGGTTTCCAAATGACAAAAAATTTGCGAAGACTAGGATTTAAACTTGTGTGCATAGCACAATGATTTGTCTCATCCATTACACCACTGTGGGGAAGACTGACTGACAGAGGCAAATGGAGAAATGGATGGAGGGAAGGCTAGACGAAGGGGGTGAATTGACGATAGGACAGAGGGGCGTTGGGATGAATTGGGGAGGGGCAGAGAAAAGTTAAAAAAAACAACACTTTTTTGGTATCTAGGACATCTAAAACACGGATTTTGATTATGTATAGAATCCAAAAAAGTCAACTTCTTCAGTATAATGGACCCATTAAAGGTGTGAAGTTTTTCTGACCAAAGTTCAAGAGAAGGTTAAAAATACAACCTATTGTAATTGAGTGTTCATTCCTATTACATTCCATATAAACATGATAGATTTTATTTTAGGTTTTTGTCTAAAAGCAGGAAAAGTAGTTTCAACTAAGCCAGTTTTGAAACTAAGTTTGGACTTGGCTGGATTTAGTAATAAAATAATTCAGTTGTGATCTGATTTTGGAAGTTAGGAATTAGATACAGTTGGTTTTAAAAAACTAACAGGTTGGTCTAAGCTGATTTTGAAACCTCAAAGTTAATTTTTTCCAATATTAACGAACATGAAATTGTTTTTCATTATCTTTTTCATCTCAACTGTGCCGGTGAATAAAAATATTAAATGAACTGCTTGGGAGTAAAAGAGGGTTAGCCTCAAAGTTATAGTATTTGTGATATTAAAATTTTCGTTAGCTTCCATCTGATCAGCTGTCCATGCCCTGTGATTCTCAAATAGTCTAAATTATGATTCATAGTTGTCCCCAGTTGTTGTCATCTTTATGAACCCCATCGACACCCCTTCCATCAAAAAGAGTTCACTTGCCTGTATCTTGCAAATGTTTCCTCGTAGGGTTACCATGTTTGACACCCAAACCCATCATGACAATATCTCTACCCTAAACAGTTTTGTAATGTAGCCTTTCATATAAGTATGTTTTTTTGAACTAGCACTTGTGCAAAAGTGCAAGAGCGTCTCAAGACAAGCTCAAGAAATGGTATCCATTCTGATAACCTCATAAAATACATTAATATTTCTTTGCTTCATAACAGTATGCAATGCATGAAAGGTAGTTTTTAATACTAAAATTAGGTTTGGGAAGATTGGGTGATATTTTTAACTGAAATAAAACAATAACACCTGAATTTTTATCCACTAGCAACTGACATCTATTAACCTCTCAAGCTCTTAGAATATTAGAATACTTCAGTTTCAAGAATATACTTACGGGTTGTGGAGTCAATCGTTTTTGAAAATAGTTTTTCCCCCAAATAATTGATTTTTTACTTATAAATTTTTTTTTAGTTCTAAACCTTTAGGATGCAAGATATACTTGTATAACAAGTTAAATACCTTGTTAAACGTACTCATGTTATAGTACTTTAGGGAGTTGAAAACATACCTTGAAATCGGGCAGATACTCTTTTGTAGACAAGATTGTTTCTTTCGAGAAGAAAATAAATTTTTAAAAGATCGCTCATCAGAGAAAGTAATGAAAGTCCTTTCACATTTTCCTTCTTCGAAACGACCAATTTCACTTTTTACTTCTGGAGTTGGAGTAACAGTTTCTTGACTACTGCTACTGTAATTGAAAAATTGTAATTAGGATTTCATTATTTATAGTTAATAAACATTTTACATAAATTGCCGTAGATTGTAAAAGAAAGAAAAG